TTGACTAGGAGAACATATCTATACGGTTAATTAATTCTTAAATCAACTCTATAAGCATGAAGAATTAATTGAAGCTCGATTTAGGGTTGTGATTCAATACCTTTGCCCAAGAGGTGTGGCCTTGATTGGGTGCTTCCAAAAGCTTGCCTTGAGTCCAAAGAGCTCCTAGATGAAGCCTCAAGCAATGGTGAAATGCCTAGACCCAAATTTGACTAAGATTGATTTGAGGTGTTGATCAAAGTCCATCCTAGGGTGGTTGGGTGATTGGGCTTTGGTGGGGGATTTTCCTCTCTCACTGTGGGGATGGTGTGAGTGCAATTAATTTAAATTTGGTGGATTTTTTTGGGGTGTCCTATTTCATCCTTGAATTTGAGCTCCACTCAGACAATGGGATTGAGTGGCTAAGGATGGGGGGATTGAACTCAAAAAGTCTTAAGGAAGCTCTGGAAGCAATTTGGTAGAGTCTCCCCAATGAATTTCAAACTCTCCCCTCTTGACCATGGAGCGTGGGTTTAAATAGAGGGGGTAGGAGAGGCTATCAGGGCAATTGGTGGGTGCCCTAAGTTGCTTATGTGGAGGGCAAAAATGTACAATAATTCGGTTGGAATGAGGCAGCTTGTATGGGTTTAATTTTGGGTTTTAGCCTCAGTGGAGCATTTGGGTTTGGATTTTCCAACAACCAAGGTGGTCGGCCGACCAGGGAGGGGTCACCATCTGACTCAAGGAGGTCAGGGCTTGGTTTTGGTGAAGTCAATTGGGGTTGGCCATGTGTAAAGGTCTTGGATTGAAATAGTAAGGGGTAAGGGTCATTTTGGGTTACTTTGGGTCAAAGCATGGGTTTGGGCTTGGTTCACCCCTCAAAGAAGGTTTGGGTGCTGAAGAAAATCAGGAGGTTCAGCTTAATCATTAGGGATGAGTCACCATCCAAAGAGATTTGGCTAAACATGGGTTAGAGTGATTCATTAAAAGGGTTAAAAACTTTTTTAAAGAGGCTTAAAAGTGGGATGTCCTCTTTCCATTAATAGTTTGATGAGGTGGCAAAGCTCGTATGGCTCACCTATGGCTTGAGAGTGGCTTCATGGCTTGCATGTGGCATGGCTAATTTTCATGAGAAGGGATTTTGGATTTATTTCATATTTTTTGTGAAGTTTGGCATGATGCTTGATTTAGAATAATTTGATCATAGATTTATAACTTAGGTAATGATTTTGATTAAAGGGGCTAAATGGATGATGAGGAGGAAAATCATCATGTGGGCATTTGATTGAAATTGAGCTTTTGGAATTAAACATGGTGGGCTTGGGCTTTTCTTAAAGGTTGAATTTGGGATAAAATTTGGATCAATTGAATGTTGAATTTGGTGTAGGAATATTTCATGAAGGGTTTGAAAGTTATTTCAAATGATTTGAATTGAATTTGAAAGCCAATTTGGAGTTAGACACATTGTCAAAATTGGGGTTTTTGATTTGGGTAAAATTGGGCATGCAATTGGGTCAAATTGAGCTTGTATTTTATTGATATTGGGATTGGGGATACTTAATTTTAGTTTGGAATTGAAAGTTTGGAATTGAAATTGGGCAATATTGGGGTCAATTGGGCCATGATTGAGGCTAATCTGGGGAAATTGGGCCCTTAAGGGTAAATTTGGGGCTTTTGGTCAAATTGAGTAAAATTGGTCAAATTGGGTCAATGTGATGGCTAAAAATTGAAATTGGGAATATTTGGGATGATTTTGGAATTTTTGTGAATTTTTGAAATTCTTGGGTCATGAGGGACATTTTGATAATTTTGGGCAATTTTGGGGGTATTTTGGGAATTTGGTGATTTATGTGAATTTCGGTCAATTTAGGTAGTGGTGAGTGTCTTCAGTGTTATTCTGTGTTATTAAGATATTATTGTAAGGGCAAATTTTGGTATTTTGGGTAATTTGTGGAAAAAAATTAGGGTTGTAGGGGCATTTTGGTAATTTTGATGATTTTGGGCTATAATGGGCAAGTAAACCATGAAGCCATGTCAAACCAATAGGAGCCATGTGAGGACTCATTTTGGATGCTCAACATGCTGGTTCTAACCCTCTTAGCCAAATACTATGGGTATATGTTCATTTATATGAGCTTTCTAAAAGGAATCATGAGACCAAATCAAGGGGTCTTAGGGTTTGGGCTATGTAAGAAAGTTTAGTGTGTGTAAGTCACCTCAACCATCACTAGACAACCTAGGGTTAGTCCTAAGGTCTGACCATCCTATGGGAGACTCCCCTTGAGTTCCCCCCATACTAACCCCACCTACTAAGTGCTAGAGGTTAGGACCAATATGTGGAACTTCAAGTTGAGCAAAGAAGAGTTTAGATATTCTAATGGTGAGGGTTCCTTTTCTAGTCCTATAGGAATAGTCAACAGGAAAATCCTATGGCTAGCTTAGGCTATTAAAGAGAAAAAAAAACTAGACCTCAACCAAAATTGAGGTCAACAACTATACAGTAAAACATAACCAAATTCATAAGTAGTTTCAATGCATGCTAGTATTATGGAAAGCATAACATCATCTTAAAGAATTAAAAACAAAAGAAACATGAACAAGATAAAAGTAAATGGATGGTGTCATTGAAGTCAATCATGAAACATTGAAACTTAGCATGAGAAATCTAATAAAAATATGAGGTTGAACCTATAAGGGTCTTTTCATTCTTTTTGTTATAGAAAATCTAATGATAAATTACTACTTATAAAATTATGATAAAATGTTCTTTGTTGATGATAAATACTTAAAAATTTTGGTTATTAGATATATGACAATCAATGCACTAAATAAAAGTACTTGGAAATTGTATAAAGTTAGACACACCTCTATCTAGAGATCAATTATTTGTAATAGGAGGACATGCCACTTTTCTTTTTGATAACATGACGCCTTTGTTATTGATATTTAAGAATTGAGAAAATGTATCTTATGATAGCTTATACTTTACCTAAAATGTGGGTGATATCAAAGTTTTAGTTTATTTTTAAATAAATAGATTATTATAATTTATCTTCTAAATAAATGTTGTATGAATTCATAAGAAAAAGTGGGAAAAGAGGTCAAAGCATAAAAAAAAAATCAGCCTATTATGAAATTACAAGAAATATATATATATATATATAATGCATATATGAAAATCAGCCTCAGTAAAATATTTGATTCAAATATAATTTTTTTATGGCCAAGATAAACTATTTAACCTAAAAGAATAAGCTTTTAAAGTTAATTGCATCATAGAAATGTATAAAAAATTTATCAGTTATAAAGTTATTGTATTCTAATTTGACTTTGGATGAATTTAGATTGATTATGAATTGAAGGATGAAGATGAATGGTCCCAATATGTTAATGGGTGTAGCCAAAAAAATCCAATAAAAGAAAGAAAAACCAATAGGAGGGGTTTTTTTCTAATCATTTCAGGTTATTATGCTTTGTGTCAACATAATTATGAAGGCAGTAAAAAAAAATCTATCTAAAGTTTTTTGTTATCAATTATGTATTGCATCACCTAAAAAAAAAAATAGATAATGACAAAAAAAAAAGTTTAGGTCCTTGACTCCAGACAATGGAAGCAAATGATGTATGACTTACTCTTCTAACATGAAATAAATAGACAAATTTGATAATAAAAAATTAAAATAATTAAAAGATAGCCTTGCAATTATATTTGTATCGGACATATCTATTGATCTATTTTGGTATACTAGACTTATGCTTAAATTGGTTTAAATATCATATTGCCATGTCAAGCATAAAGTGGGATCATAATATCCAATAAAACATATATGCAATGTGCATTACTTGCTCTTTAATAAATGATTTTATTTAGACATAGAAATGTTATGTTATGCTTATGAATCAGCTATACCTACATTGACCAACAAAATATTGAAATCCAAATCTTTGAAACGACTTTGAGAGAAAGGAGGAGAGATGCTTAGGATTTGGATAGCTCACAAGTTGGAGAAGGGGAGATATTCAAAGTGGATGACATAGGCCTAATAAGGGATTGTTTTTGAGGTATTAAAACAAATTTGGGTGTCTTATATGTTGGCAAACTAATTTAGATGTGATATATCTAAATAATAATATTTTGAGTGATACATATTTGAATCCCCTAATTATTTAAACATTTTTGATGATATTTAAGGATTAACCTATTATTAAATACATATAAATTCTTTGATATGCATGTAAAATATATTTTATTTAAAATTTTCTTAGGTGATAGTCAAATTTATGAATTATATCCTTTAATTTTTATTATTTTACATATTTAATGTGCTAATTTTAGTATTTATTTATATCACATCAAACTGTTGAAATCATAAAAAATTATATATAAAAAATAATAATGTATTTTAAAAAAATATATTTGGATATAGTTTACATTGGATGTTGCATGTCAAAATAAAATATAAAATATTATAAAATTCTCTTTTATCTTTTCGGAAATTTACCTACATAGCACCTAATTCTTAAGCATTTACATATCTCACGAAAAATTATTGCATACGGACACTACATGCAGAAATGTATGCGGTGTCCGATTTATACCGTAGATCACAGTGATCTACGGTGATGATGTATTTCGGTTGGCCCCACTTTAAATTTTTTATTTTTTTTAAAAAAATTAATTGCATCCTCACCGTCATCGTCATCGTAGATCACCGTGACCTACGGGATCTACACCGCATATTTTTTATTTTTTTAAAAAAAATTAATTGCATCCTCACCGTCATCGTCACCGTAGATCACCGTGACCTACGGGATCTACACCGCATGCAAAATTTTTTGCATAATTTTTACTCTCAAAATCTGATTTCTTACTTCCCAAATACCTTTTAATTTGATAAATTCACCTTATTATACATAAAATAAAATAAAAAAAAATTGCTTGAATTGTACCGTTGTGAGATTTGTAAATGCATAAGAATTAATAAATTCCCCTTATTTTTTTTCCCCAATTTTCTTTACATTGCTATCGCGCCTTCTACCTCGCTCCGGATGATCCTAGGGTTTGGGCCCTAATGGATTTGGAATCTAAGTACGAAATCCTCCGGACTGCGAATTTCATCCGCAGTAACAACTTCTCCAGAGTCGCGTTGCAGGTTTCCCCTCTCCCCAATGCCAATTTCATTCCGCTCCTGCTTTAACTTTTTTTTTTTTTTCCCCGATTTCCTTTACCTTGTACCATTGAATCCTGGATTATTTTACAGAAGGATTTCTTCGTTGCAGTTTCCAGACGAGCTCCTCAGAGACTCGACGAGCGTGGCGAGGGCTCTGAGGAATGAGCTGGGGCGAGGCGTGCGCCTGTTCGTCATGGCCGACACGGCATACGGCAGTTGCTGTGTGGACGAAATCGGTGCCGCGCACATTGACGCTGACTGCGTCGTCCATTTTGGCCACGCCTGTATGAGTCCGTGAGTTCTAGCAATCACCACCATTAAATTTTTGGATTCATTTTTCTCTTTTGTAGCATTTGTTTGGTAATTGTAAATTTTATGGTTTTTGGTATTTGCGGTTGTTTAGGATGCTTTTACTAATGCAAGAGTATTTGTTAGTTCAACGATTATTGTTTATTTTCATGTGCTTGAAAAATGTTTTGTGTCACTCAGAAAATTGTTTCATGAAAGTTTGGGTAGCTGTATTTCTTAATTACGTGTTTTTACTGACAGTATGGTTGAAGTCAGTTAATTCGACTATTTTGATTTATGTGTCACATGCCATTTAAAATTTTCATTCATGCTGAAGAATACTGTACTATAATGATTTGACTCTTTATTTGTTTTTGTTTTCGTTTTTAGGGGTGTTTGGCAGCAGCTAAGATTTAATTTAAATAGGATTTAGTAAATTTGGTAAATCCATATTTATCAAATCCAGATGCTGTTAAATCCAGAATAGTGTTTAGTTCGATGAAGATTAAAATCTTGTTCAATCCATTTGACACGTTTGGCATGTTTTCTCAGAATTTAACAACAATTGATTTTCAAAGAATTTAAATATGAAATACAAGGTTCACGCCATCAACTTTTAAAATGCTAAAATAATTAATGTGATATTGATATGCTCAAAATTAAAAAATAACTTGTAAAAAATTTTAAAATGGCTAAAAATTAAATGTTTCAAGAACCTAAAATCTACTATAACTTCCATACTTGTTTGCACCTCAACCATCTTATAACTTACTTTCCTCGAGGTTTCAAGTGGCTCCCATCATGCTGGCATGAGATCCCACGATATGGTTGGCTGCTCTTCCTCCCATTCCTGAATTTGCCACGCGATGCTGAGGAACTCTTTGCCCGCTGTATAATCATCTTTTTCCTCAAAACTCCATTTCTTTACCTTGGCTCTGCCTCTAATGCCTTTCTTCTCTATTGGGAATTCCCATGCAAAGTCCTGGCACAGATTGCTTACATACTAGTGGCTTCGCCTTCATAGCTTTCCTGCTTTTTCTTCTCGCGTTTAGACCGCTCTCATAAATGACCTTTGGGCTTTGAAAATTAGACGCCCTGACCTCCCTCAAAAATAAAGAAATGATGAATGTGATGAGGGAGTTTACTGTTGAGGTTTTGGGATTTCGGAAGACAGATAATCTAGTAGATAAGACACTACCGAAGATTTCACTCTCCTTTTTTGTGGTCTTTAAGATTTGGGGTTCGAGGTTTCCCATAAGCGCGAACCCCTATGGTTAATTACCCCTCCTAAAAACGGGAGAATATTTTCTATTAATGCTAGTTATTAGGCGCTTATTATTTAGATTTAACATATAATATCAACAAATTTAAATTTAAAATTAAGAAATTATAACCGTTAGCTTACAGCGGATGATGGTGGGGGGAATAATGATGAACTTGATCAATATTCCATAGTATTATTATCCCGAGTTGCCTTGATCACTTGTCTCCTTAGAAGAGATAGTCAATCCAAACTGATAGAAAAATCCTTGATAGCAAGGATAAGTTGCTTTGTTTAATAGAGTCTATTTGTGGCACCTGCAGTTTATCAATAATTTACTAATAAGCAGTTGATCCAGATGAGCTGTTGATCAGCAACTGATTCGGATAAGCTGGCTGTCTGTTTGGTTTGTGCGTTTTAAAAATAATTGATTTGCAGCCATTTCTGGATAAATGACCATTATGTCCATGTTCTGTAATGTTGTTTACAACATAACTGCTATAGCTGTAAATTTGATACTTTATAAGCAAAAAATCACTACACAACAGTACAAAAAATTGATCTATATTTGACCCTAAATTGACAAAAATTAACCCCCAACAACCCAAAATTGACATATATTTGACCCTAAATTGACCCAAATAGTTGTTATGACTTATATTAAACTGGTTACATGGGTCAAGTTCGATTCAGTGAGTTGAAGATGGGTTTGGTTCGGGTTGAAATTTCTGACCAATTTAATATTCTGGTTGATTTCAGGTCAAGTAGTTTCGGGTCAGGTCAATTTCAACTCTGCGAACCCGATCCGTGAACCCAATTTGTCTCCCCTAATGAAAAACAAGACCCCAAGCTCCAATTTTTATGCCACAAAAAGAGACATGAACTTTTCATCAAACCTATAGAATGGTAAATAGTGATTCTTCATTTGTTGCTTTTTTTTTTGTTTCCATGCAGGATAATTTTTTAATTTTCATGTTAAATTTTGTATGATGAAATTTGTGTCCATTTGGGGTACCAAGATGATTGGGTCATACAAGGATAAGCATGCATCACACTGTTTCTTTTATCAATTATTTATGATGCTTTTCCCATAATACCTTCTGCGCATGTTTAATGGGCAGTTGATAAAAAATTTGGGGATTTCAGAGGTCTTTGCACACCAATCTCATCTATCCTTCCCAAAACCAAACTGTTTCGTGAGTCTTGATTCATTTGTCTTCGCCCATCGACTTGCCAAGAGAACCAGAGAAGGGAAGTGCTCAAGAGGAGAGAAGCTGAGCATCGCTAAGAAGATGAGGAGTTTGAGAAATCGTGCAGCTGTTCAATTAACCTAATCGCGATTCGCGAGCCAAAACGGGGAGGTAGGGAGGATGGATCAGGGTGCTTAGGTACCGTTTGGAGTGATGCTTAAAGGGACTAGGCGACCGTTCTTCGAAGGAGTGCCTCCTCCATGTTTCCACCATGCTTTTGCGAGAGGGATAAGGGAGTAAAGTTTTCTCTACTAACGCTGGCCACGTGGTCGGACCCGCGGCCGACGTTTAATATAAATGGATTCCAACTTATCGCGAAACACATCCCAGACATGGGAAACAAACACCTTTGGCTGGGTTTTGAAAATGCTCTACAACGAATAAGCTGTGCTGAACGGACCCATAATCTTGTAGACCTAGGATTAATTTTGTCTAAGAGGGTAAATTTAAGTCACTTGAGCTAACAAAAGTGTTTTATTTCTTATCAGGTATACTCTACCGTTTACAATTCAAATATGTAATACCATTGGGGAATATATGCGCCATAACTATCATCGTAATATAGTCAAGCCTCATTGGCCAAACCACCTGATGGATTCTACTGGCCAAACCACCTGATGGAGGAGCATGTTGACAATACAACCTGGTTGAGCCTACTGGCCAAACTATCAGACGAAGCCTATTGAACAAATCACTTGGTCCAAAGGTTCTTGTTGCAACCACTTCTATGTGGAGTTGTTAGACCAAACAATACAGACTGAGGACACTGACCATGGTCTTACTAACATGAGATTATTTTGAGTGTGAATTTAGTAGTATAATTGATATAACATTTGTTATTTGTGAGCTTAGATTAATATTAAATTTGTCGTACTTGACAAAAAGTTACAGAGAGTGATGAGATTTTTCTTAACATCTCAGTGATATTTTTTTTATTTAAAAATTTTTAGATTTTCTTTTTTTATTTCAAAATTTTTTATTTTTAATATAAATCTCTTCGGTTAAAATTTACTTTGAATACGACCATCATTAGGGAGTAATTGGTTGCTTTGAACTTTGTTAACTTTGTCCTACTTATAGAGGATCATGTTTGAAAATTAACATATGATTGAATTTATGTGGATTTGCATACATACTGCTCAAAACATATCTTTTTTACATATCTAACACCTAAAGTTACTATTTACTTTTCTAACACCCAAAACATTTTTACACCCCAAAAATATCACTCCATAAAATCTAGCTATCTCCCCGTTTCCTCTTCGATAATGCTGCCTTCATCCATCACTGACATGCGAAGTCCACCAAAATCCTACTCTACAAGAACTTTGCCGCCAGCCTTCAACTTTGGGATTTCCGGTTTGGGGCCATCATTCATAGAGACTAATGTCATCACTGTTGATTCAACCTCAGGTAATTGAAGTGAATCAGATGAAGATGAACTAGCAGACCGACAACCCAAGTTTTCAAATCTTCGACAAGGACTTTTGAAATTTTTTGCTTAACCGAGATGAAGGGTGCTCACCCATTCTTTTCTTTCTTAATCTCCATATCTTCTTTCTGATGCTAGAAATCCCAATTGTTCATCTCAAGCACAAAAAAAAATATTTCAAATTTCCAATTTGTTATTCTAAACTCTCTGCTCTAATAGATTTCCTATACTCTCCATTCTGCTTTTGTTATGAAGAAAATTCTTGTTCTGTGTTTTTGTGTGACTTTGTATCTCGCACATTCATGTTCAATTTTTTCTGTTTTCTTCTTTTCTTTAGCATCCCAGCTTCTATTGTGCAATTATCATGTATCCTGTATTTGGGGAATTTAATATTTATGTTTTAGCAATTTTTATCAACAGAGTTTAGCCTTTCAAATCAATTTTGAAAGGGAAAAGTAACCGATTCTTGGGAAAGAATGATCTTATTTAGACTGGAACATTTTGTTTTTCACAAAACGATACAACGATATAAAAAACTTGATCCATTTTAACCTTTCCATTGCCTTTGTTCAGCCACCAGCTTCTTGATGCCGAAGTTCATCGTGTGAAATGGCATAAGATGCTGGAACATTTTGTTTTTCACAAAACGATACAACGTTATAAAAAACATGATCAAATCCCAGCTTCTCGATGCCGAAGTTCATCGTGTGAAATGGCATAAGATGAATGCGAGGCTGCGGAGGGTTTCGAAGTGATATTTTTGCGGTGTTATAATGTTTTAGGTGCTAGAAAAGTGAATAGTAATTTTTATGAGTTAGACATATAATAAGATATGTTTGGATTGGTATGTATGTAAGACCCCCATGAATTTTTGTCAATAATTTGTTGTGCAGATAACCCCTGTCAACTCTACTTAAGCATAGAGGATGGAGCCTACGGATTATAACTTGATTTTGAGTTAAAAGTTTAGAGTTTTCATTTGAAATATTCATTTTTAAAATGAACCCTGCCCCAGTTAAGATATCCCTAGAATGCGTTCATCATTCCAGATCTTTTCATGATA